CACGGGGAGGAAACTGAGGCAAGGAGAGGAAACTGAGGCAAGGAGGAAACTGAGGCACGGGGAGGAAACTGAGGCACGGGGAGGAAACTGAGGCACTGGGAGGCCCACACAGCAGGAAACCCGAACCCAAGAGTGGGAGGCCCGCATGACCACAAACATCCTGCTCTTTTCCAAGGGGCTGTGACCCTCTCAACGCCCGTGGGGGCTCAGACGCCCACTGGGACCACTGCACAGCGCGAACAGCTCCCATCAGGGGCTACAGCTGCCTGGCCCACCCCACAGGGACGCGAAATGCAGGCAGCAGCTTCATAAACTGAATTGCCGAGCGAAAGCCACTGCTGTCTGTGCCCGGCTCCCCTGGGCCCAGACCGCGCCTTTGGGGCAGAGCGTGGAGGCGGGAAGGCGGCGGCCGTGCTGACCGGGCCTCCTCTTTCCACCTAACCCCGGGGGACGAGCTGCACTCCGGGCCCAGGAAAGGGGGTCCCCCGGGTCCCGGCTGGGAGCTGAGGCTGGCGGCACTGTGGAGACTAGCCCGGGGCAGAGCGCCCCGTGTGGCTCTAAGCTGGGGCGCAGGGGCGGGCTGGGGCCATCCCGGGGGTGCCGAGGCAGGACCCCCGGGGACTCTCCGAGGTGAGGGGCCCAGACCGCGGGCCGCCTGGAAGTGTGCCGCTCTGGGGCTGGGGTGCACCGCCGCCGGCAGGGGACGCTGGGGTCGGAGTCGGGCTTCACGCCCCGACAGAGCCGACTTCCAAGCAGAGGGGCTTCGGGGAGTGGCCCGGGGGTCAGGCGCCCTGCTGGGCTGTGAGCGGCACCTGGGGGTGTCGGAAGGCGACGGTGCCCCAGGGCTCGGCGGACTCCGACCGCAGCGAAGGCCAAAGACGAGACTCGGAGGGTCCCCTGACAGGGATCGAGGCCGCGAAAGGGCTCCTGGGGGGTCCCTGCAGGGCACACGGGCGGGAGGCGGAATGCGCGGGCCCGGGGGGCCGCTGACGGGGCCGTCAGTGCGGCGCCTCAGAGGCCGCCATGGGGCTCTCACCGGTCGCCACATCTTCCTGCTGCTGCCGTCGCCCTGCGCTCACTCCTGTCGCCCGGACCGGCAGCCCCCGCGCCACCTCTAGCACACCGGCCGATGGACGGCGCAATGCGCATGCGCGCCAGAACCCGGCGGCCGGCGGCAGGCGGGCACGGAAGCCCCGCCCCCAGCCGGGCCCGCCTCCGTGTGGAGCAGCGCCCCCTGGCGGTCGTTAGAGGTCTAAGTCTTGAAGCTAGGGCATGGTGCTCTGCGTGGGTTGGAGTCCCAAATTCCCTGAAGAGGCTGGCTGGCTAAGTGGGGAACATTTTTCAGTTAATTCTGACTCATCGCGACCCCATGCGTTGCAGAATAGAACTGAGCCATAGAGTTTTCTTGTTTTTTAAAGTTTGTGTTTTTGGTGAAAGTTTACATAGCAAATGAGGTTCTCATCTAACAATTTCCATGCATCTTGTTTGCAGTTAGCCCTGGTGGTGCAGTGGTTAAAGCGCTCGGCTGCTAACTGAAAGGTCAGCTGTTGGAATTCACCAGCTGCTGGGCGGGTTGAAGGTGAGGCAGTCTGCTTCTACAAAGATTGCCTTGGAAACCCTATGAGGCAATTCTGCTCTGTCCTGCAGGATTACAAATCAGAATTGGACAGCAGTGGCTTTTGCTTTTTTTTTTTTTTTTTAAATACATACTGTTCAATGACACTGGCTACATTTTTCACAATGTATCAGCATGTTCATGATTTCCTTTCTGGTTGTTCTGTTTCCATTAATCTAGTTTCCCTGTGCTCCCTGCTCTTCCCATCTTTGATCTCATTTAGATAATTGTTTAGAGAGGCCCAATGCTCACAGTGTTTCTCTGCTATTCATAAGGTTCAAATTGTTTTCTTAAAAGTTGCAATACTGAAAGATTCTATGGGCAAAGTAGGAATGATGCAGGAAGCATCAAAAGAAGATGGAAGAAATACACAGAGTTGCTGTACCAAAAAGAACCGGTCGATCTTCCTCCATTTCAGGAGGTACCGTATGATCAAGAACCAATGGTATTGAAGGAAGAAGTCAAAGCTGCACTGAAGGAATTGCCAAAGAACAAGGCTCCGGGAATTGATGGAATACCCATTGAAATGCTTCAACAAACAGATGCCGTGCTGGAGGCACTCACTCGGCTATGCCAAGAGATTTGGAGGACAGCTACCTGGCCAACTGCCTAGAAGAGTTTCATATTTGTACCCATTCCAAAGAAAGGTGATCTGCAGTGTAGTAAATTACATAGTGTGGCTTTTCTAGCCATAAGTCTTTGTAAACTCCATGGTGGAATTTGCCATGAACAACTGAGGAGCTTCTGATTGTTAAAGTTATCTACCTGAGATGGTGGGAGCAGCACAAAGTAATTTTCTGGGAAGTTCACTCTCTCTCAGGTGTGTAGAACTCTGATGTTGGGATTGGTTCATTTGGCCACTCTGCCAGGCTCAAAAGGAGCCCTCCTAGGGGCAGAAGGAGTCCCTCTGACTGCTGGCTGAGAAAGACGTGCTGCTGAGGGAAACGTACTCCTGAGAGGCATGTACTGCTGAGGGAGAGACACACGCTGCTGAGAGAGACTGTTGGCTGAGAGACAGCAGGCTGAGAGAGACTGAGTGTTGTTCCTAAACTTGAATTGTAGCCTGGTGCTTCCCTAATAAACCCCATAATCTGTGAGTTCTGTGTGGCCACTGCAGTGAATTATCAAACCCAGCAGAGAGGTGGTGGGTGCTGCAGGAGGAACGGTTGGTGTCAGGGTTGGTGAAAGTACTGGAGGGAGGTGGCATATCTGGCCTCACAGGGATAGGCCTTGGGCTACTGATGGTGATTCTGTCTTCCTCTTGTGGGGTTAGAGGAATTCAGAAAACGTGGCCTCCTTGCCCCTTTGTCATGATCCCACAGAATGTGGAAATTACCAAACAATATCATTAATACAACATGTAAGTAAAATCTTACTGATGATAATACAAAAATGGTTACAGCAGTATATTGACAGAGAACTTCCAGAGGTGCAAGCTGGATTCAGAAGAGGATATGGAACAAGGTATATCATTGCTGATGTCAGATGGATCTTGGCTCAAAGCAAAGAATACCAGAAAGATGTTTACTTGTGTTTTATTGACTGTGAAAAAGCATTTGATTGTGTGGATCCTAACAAATTGTGGACAACATTGAGAAGAATGGGAATTCCCGAACACTTAATTGTACTCATGAGGAACCTGAGTTCCAGCCATAGACCAAGAGGAGGCTACTGTTTGAACAGAACAAGGGGACATTACATGGTTTAAAAATCAAAAAGGGCATGCATCAGGGTTGTATCCTTTCCCCACACTTATTCAACCTATATGCTGAGCAGATAATCTGAAAAGCTGGACTATATGAAGAAGAACATGGCATCAAGATTGGAGGAAGAATCATTAATAACCTGCAGTACACTGAAAGTGAGGATGACTTGAGGCACTTACTGATGAAGACTGAAGAATATAGTCTGCAGTAGGGATTACATCTCAATATAAAGAAAACAAAAATCCTCACAACTGGACCTATAACCAGCACCACAATCAATGAAGAAAAGATTGAGGTTGTTAGAGACTTCACATTGCTTGATTCTACAATCGACGCCAATGGAAGCAGCAGTCAGGACATCAGACGACATATAGCACTGGGCAAACCTGCTGCAAAGGACCCTTTTCAAGTGCTGAAGAGCAAAGATGTCTCCTTGAGGACTAAGGTGTGCCTGACACAAGCCAATGATATTTTCAGTCACCTTGTATGCATGTGAGAACTGGACAATGAATAAGGAAGACTGAAGAATTGATGCTTTTGAGGTATGGTGCTAGTGAAGAATGCTGAAAGTACCATGGACTTCCAAAAGAACTAACAAATCTGTCCTGGAGGAAGTGCAGCTGGAATGCTCCTTGGAAGTGAGAATGGCCAGACTTTGTCTCATCTACTTTGGTCATGTTGTCAGAAGGGCCCATTCCCTGGAGAAAGATGTCATGCTTGGTAAGGTAGAGGATCAATGAAGGAGGAAAAGGCCCTCAATGACATGGATTGACACAGTGGCTGCGGCGATGGCCTCAAGTACAGCAGGGGATGAGGAGCTGATATGGGACCAGACAGTGTTTCATTCTGCTGTGCATGGGGTCGCTATGAGTCGGACACGACTCAACAGCACCTAACTCACAGGTGATCTTGTTTACTTCATGAGCCACTCTGTCATTTGGCTGAAAGGCGACTTCCAGGAGTGGCTTCAGTGCCAGGTTTAAAGGGTATCTCAGGGTGAAAGTCTTGGGGTTCCTCTAATATCTACCACTCCAGTGAGTCTGGCCTTTTTTTTTTTTTTTAGGAATTGCAATTGGAGCTGCGGACCTCTGGGGCAGGCAGAGGGGCTGAGAGGGGGGCCTGCCATGGGAAACATTGGGTGCCAGTTATGGGCTGTGTGATGGGCACATCTCTGGTTTCCTCAGGACACTTCTTTGCAACATGAGTTGTAACCATACAAGCTCACACAGCTGGCTGACAGGTGCAGTACCTAAGCCCCATGATCCCCTAGACTGGCTCCAACAACACTGTGCATGCTGTGTGCTGGCTGGCGCAGGGATGTGTTCACAGCAGAGGACCTAGATGTGGTCTGGACGGGGGCAGTGGGAAAGCAGGGCAAAGGAGAAACTCCCCCTCCTGCACTCCACGTCTGTCCTTGTCCTCATTGACCTCCTCCCTGGGCGAGCAGAACTGTCCCCTCCCCTCAGAGGCCTCTCCAGCAGCCTGGGCCTGCCAGTGGCTCTCCTCCCTCCCATCCCCGACTCCCCCCATCCCCCCCTCATCGCCATCACACCATGGGCCTCTCCTCTGGCAGCAGGCAATGTCTCCCCTCACCCCAGGTCCCATGGGGCCCATTCAGAGCTTCCCCAAATGCACCCTCCCTTGCAAGGTTCCTTGGCACAGTCAGGGACCCCAGTCTGGCCTGGTCCTGACGCCTGACTGTCCTTCGCCGCGGTCTTGTGTTGCATCCCTCAGGACCGTCCTGGGCTCACTCCCCCCACCCCACACTCAGGCCGTGACTCAAGTGCCACCTCCATGTGTCCACTTGGGAAGCTCCCTCCCAGCTCAGGCACGACTCCTCCAGGCCCAGACCATTGGGAAGGCTCTTACAGCAGGGAACAGAACTGAGGGTGGGGCACCAAAGGGACCCCCTCCTCAGCAGGAGGGCCAGGCAGGAGGAGAGCAGGGGAGGAGTGAAGGCTTGTGGGAATCAGGCAGAATGGTGGCCACAGAGTGTCCAGGGGCCCTGGGGGGCAGGCAGGCAGGAACGTGCCCCAGTGCAAATCCTGCCACCCTACCTCACCCCTCCTGAAAGAGCTGACCTTCTGGGGACCCGTGCCTTGCTGGATCCAGTGGAGGGTGGAGCTGGGCTGAGGAGTGGGGTCTCTAAGGGCAGTTGGGGTACAGTGAGTGGGGAAAAGCAAGGCCTTAAGTGATGCAAAACCTAAAATAGGAGTGGAAGGGAGACCAAAGGCGCTCAGGTGTAGCGCCACCTGGAGGCAGCAGGACCCCAGATGACCTGCCGTGCAGAAGCTGACCACTAGGTCCCCAGCCCTGTGAGGCCCAAGCCTTTTGCCTTGGGACGGGACATTAGTCATACAGGATCAGGACCTGCTGTGCTCCACGATGACCTCATGTTAACTGATGACCTCATGTTAACTGATAACCATTTACCAACCAGGTCACATTGACAAGTCCCAGACGCCAGGACTTTGAGATGAAATGGGGGGGGGGGGCACGATTCAATCGGGAGCAGGGAAGGTTGCCTTCTCCTGGTTCATTCAGTCTTCTGATCCATGAACGTGGGCTGTAGGGTCACTGATGTAGGTGGTCTTTAATTTCCTTCAACATTTTATAGGTTCCTGTGTTACATTCTTACACTTATTTTGTTAAATTTATTCCTAAATACAGTAAAACCTGTGAAAATCACAACCTGAAAGCACTGTCTTCTTTTTCTGGGTCTTAAAA